CTGCTTTGCAGTGCTGTGGGGGAAGGCCTGCAGGAAGGGGAGGCTTGCTGAGGACAGGGAGGTGTGGGAAAGAGAAGATCTGGGCCTGGCTTACCTTGCTCGTGTGCTAATTTGGGACCTATTACTCCAGTGCTGGGACAAGTCTGTGACACATTTATGTTCCTAGTACCTTGGGCCTACAAGACCAGGGGCGAGGCTGGGCAGGGCAGCAACCGGGAGCTAGGGGGTTTGAGGATGGCAGAAGGATGGCTGTTGCTTTCACTCCACTAGCAGGGCTGGGAAGCAATGGGCTACAGAGCTACTTTCTTTACTATCTCTCTCCCAGGGCACTCAAAGCTCTCTGGAGTTACCTGACCCAGAAGGGAGTTAATAGCGAGGCCATCTGGGAGAAGATTAAGGACATCGTTATCAAAACCATCATTGCGTGAGTCCTGGCACCCCTTGCTCTGTGCCTCACTGCGGCGTGCACCCTGATCCCTCTAGCTCTCCAGTCACCTCAGCCCAGTCCTTTTAATCTAAATGCTACCACTGCTGTTGGCTTCAGTATTTCTCTCTGAATCTTTCCTTTCTTTCCATTCTGTTACTTGCACTCATACTGCAGTAACTGCACTAGGTAAATAGAGCTTACATTTTCTGGGTCAGGAGGGAGGCCAGAAGGGTAGGGTGTACCCAACGTTGCCCAGCTTGCCACCTGCTCCCCTGCTTGGCCAGGGTGCCTGAGAAGAAAGGTCCCCCGGTGCAGGATGGATTTTGTGTTGAGAAGCAGATCCTGCCTAGGGCTGCTCAGGACACAATGCAGGATCCATACGCAGCACAGCAGCAGCTCACAGGCCCTCATCAGTCTCTCAGCCCGCCTGCTCCCACAGCATGTGTCTGCATACGCTCTTGGAACTGGCAGCGTGTGCTGTGGACAGGCATAGGTCTGCTGTCTGAGTGTTGAAAACAAGAGTTTTTTCCTTGGCTTGCAGATCTGAGCCCTACGTGAACAGCCTGGTGAAGATGTATGTGCGGCGCCCATATTGTTGCCATGAGCTGTTTGGGTTTGATATCATGCTGGATGAAAACCTCAAGCCCTGGATCTTAGAGGTCAACATTTCCCCAAGGTAAAGCAGATTCTGAGCCACAGCAGAGTAGATAATGGCCTTTCTTTTACCACAAAGTGAATTTGGCTCCTGATGTCTCCTGCACCCTGTGCTAAAAGACTGTGGGCTTTGAAGTCTCCCGCTCCAGATTGCAGGAATCAAAGTCCTCCCTGTGTGTGAAAGCAGCATCCATCTGTAGCTCAGAAAGCTTCGCTGGGCATGCTCCAGCTAGAGCCAGGGAAGAGTACATTAGAATAGGAAGACCAAGGAGAGATGTGTAATATAGGGAACAGGTGATGGCAGAGATTTCTTCTTTGTGTGGGTAGAAGTGATCAGCAGCTCCATTGCCTCATGCACTGCTCCTTGCTTGCTGACTGTACCCGGCTGGTGGTGTCAGCTGCACAGGTGGGGCTGGGAGCTGCAGTGTACCCGAGCATGGCCTCTCCTGCCTTTGAGATGGATGGGCGTGAGCTGGACACAGAGTCATGGTTCCACACAGGGCTCTGAGGATGGATTTGCTGGTTTCCAGCAAATCTGGGAAGAGGTGGAGAAATGAACCATTTCTGGTGGGGAGCCCCCATTCAAAGAGCTGTTGTCAGGACTTTTGTATCAGTGTCTCATGTCTGTTTGTGATGAGGCGAGGGACAGGCTGGGTTTTGTACCTCAGCTGGTATTAAACCAGGGTGTGATCTTGGGGCTGTGGGGCTTGGCATCTCCATTCTAGCACTGTGATGCTTCCTCCCTGCAGCCTCCACACCAACTCCCTGCTGGATGTGAACATCAAGGGCCAGATGATCCGGGACCTCCTCAACCTTGCTGGCTTTGTTCTGCCCAGTGCAGACAGCATGGCCTCAAGGCCACAGACAAGAAGTGACTCTACGTCCAGGTCAGCCCCCTTCTCTGTCAGTGGCAGGCTTTTTTCTTGGAGGATTTAATCTAGGGGCTGCTTGCAGCCCAGCAAATGCTGATTTCTATGCTATTGAGAGCCTGAGCATGCTGGTGCTTCAGATATGGGTCTGAGAGACTTGCATAGTTGCCTGAGTATCTGGTTCCTGTGGTCTCTTCAAGGTGGAAGGGTTTATGCCTTCTCTGCAGGTCCGTAGTTGGAAACGAGGACAGTGTAATTTGTGCTTGCTTTGCAGTTAGTTGAGTCATGCTTCCTCCTCCTTCCCCCTACCATAACTAGTGTGATGCTAAGCTGCACTGCTTCACCTTTTGCTTGGGGGGCTGGCTGGCTGTGTTGAGGCTGGATCCGCTTACTCTCTGCCCCAGGGCTGATGTGCTGTTGCCTTAAGCAAGAGGAGCACCTGTTGTTTTGCACAGGTTGAAGTGATCTGTTCCTTAGGCAGGACTGCAGGTGTCAGAGGCTGTAGACCTATGGGTAGGGGTGTGCATTGTCTTAACTTGCAGCTGACATGATTGTTTCTTGCATAAGGCTAATTCCCAGGCATGTGCCTAGCCAGGCCCTTGCTCCTTCTGTGTTTCACTACAGCTTGGGCTTACACTGGTTTCAAACCTGACAGTGAGGGGAAAAAACAGTCCTGTTCCCTGCAGCAGAGTGGCTGCTGGCTATATGTCACTGGAGGAGCAGCCTGCTGGCATGAGTACCAGCACATGGTGCTGTATGGGCATGCCGGAAGGTGGAACTCTTGCCCTCTGCCTGCCTGGTGCCTTCAGCAAAGCGAAGGCTTGAAACACGGCCTGTTCCAGGCGGGAAGCTCTTGCCAGCTTATCTGTGGCCCTTTGGTCACATGCTGCTTCCTGGCTTGCAGTGGAGGTGCTGAAGGGAAGGTGTTTTCAGAGGGACCCGCAGGGATTAAGTAGTTCCTTAACGTAGTTCAGATGTGCATTACCAGAGTTCCTGCATCTGAGAGCAAGCTTGCTTAACCACATCTCCTGCCCTGGGAAGAATATTAAGGTGTTTTTTATTTCATATGGGCATCATTCCAGTAGATCTGTATGTTCTCAAGCACCATGGAGCACAGCCTTGAGGCTTTGTTCTCCTCATTTAGATCTACATGCAACTAATTATTTTTGCAGCAGCAGCATAAATTAGCTGTGTTGATACAGGGTTAAAAGGCATTGGACAAGTATCTCCCAGACTCTAATATCCTCAAGTGGTCAGTTGGGTGCTTAGAATAGTTTACATGGTTGCTGGCCAGATCGTACAACAGGCCAGGATTTCCCATGGCATGTGGAGCTGAAACTGAATTTGGGCCTTCAAAGTTCTTGAATGTTGCAGGAGGAAGTTTTGGATCTATGAGTTCTCTCTTTCCTTGTGCAATACCAAGTGCTCATACTTGTTGTTAGAGTTAGGAAACTGTGTTCCAAGCAGGATGTAAACATGAGGTCCCATGAGATCCCACCATGACCTAATTCACAAGTGCGGTGAATTGGGTCATGGTGTGTCTTTGGCCTTCTTGCACCATGTGTGGGTGTGACGTGATGGTTGACCTTTGAACAGGGGAACGTTGAAATGCTTTAGTGAGGAGCTGGCAAGGCCCTCCCAGTTCCCCTGTCCACATCCTTCCTGGGACCTGTGCTGATGCACAACGCTGTGGGTGCTTCTCTAATCTCAGAGCTAGTGAAATCCTTAATCCTCCACAGCATCTTCCTGAGGGTGTCACTGCTCTCACAGAAGTTGCTGGGAACAGCTCTGTCATGACAGGATTTTGTCTTCTCCACTTAAATGCTCTGTTGCCTCTTTTGTGTCCTCAGTATGGGCAGTGCTTTGAAGGAGAAGCCCAAGCCAAAGTCTGAGCATTTCATAGCTGAGAAGATGAAGAGGGCCTATTACTTGATGCAGAAGATACCTGACCAGGTATAACAGTCTTCTCTAATGCTTGTGCCATCCTGCGAAGCCACAATCCCAACCAGCCCTTGTCTGTTTCCAGATTTGTGCCCCTCTTGTGGGGACAGCCACATTATGGGGAGCACTTGGACTTGAACTCCATTTACAACTTCCTTGTAACTCCAGGGTTACAAGACAGTTGGTCAGAAATAAATTGGGTTTTCTTAAGCCACTGCTGCACTGGCTCATCTTTACATTAAAATAGGCATGTGCTGAGGAGCACATTACCCACCAGTCCCCAAACTTGGTCTGAGCACTGGCCTGTTCATCCTGTGTCTCTGTGCAGCTCTTATGGCCTTTGCCTGTAAAATAAGTCATGCAGATTATCAAGGACACTTGCCTTGTGTGCCACCTGGCAGTACCTGTAAGACAGGTTGGGCTGCAGAACTGGGGATCTCCTCAGCTTCATCAGCATTGCTGTCACCATCGAGCCTAGATTTCTTCATTTTCTGTGCGTCCCAGCGATCTCAGGCAGATGGAGACGTCTGCCTGAGAGACTCTGAGGAGTGAGGAGCGGGGAAAGGGAACCAACAAAACAGTTCACTTCTCCCTGACCCTGGATTGCTCTTGTCTTCAGGATTTTTATTCTTCTGTCTTGGACATCCTGACCCCGGATGATGTTCGCATCCTGGTGGAGACAGAGGACGAGTATTCCCGGCGTGGGCAGTTTGAGCGGGTGTTCCCCACCCACATCTCCATGCGGTACCTGCGCTTCTTTGAGCAGCCTCGTTACTTCAACATCCTGGTGACCCAGTGGGAGCTCAGATACTACTTGAATAAGCACAAAGGTAACAGCATCTGAGAGCCTGGCACAGGCACTTGAGTCAGTCAGGCTGCCTGCTGGGAGTCGTGGGAGACTTGTGAGCTACACATGTTGAGGGGGAGCTGCCTGCTTGCACGCTAGCCATAGGAAATGTGTTACCCTCCCAGACTGTTTCAGATATCACGAAAAGCTTATTCTGAGTTGATCAGAGGTGCTGACTGCTCTGGTAAGGTAAATGCAGGACTTCTAGGTGCCCTGAGACTGAAACAGGCTGGGATTCTGCCTTCAACCTGTAGCTCTGGCCTCTTATTCTCTTCATCTGCCCTCTTATGAGGGAGAAACAGCTGGAATCACTGGGCTTTGCTCATTACACGTGATCTGTGAAGGAAAAATTTGGCCTATTCCCTGGTCTCCCTTTGCTTTCTAGTTGATGAAAAACTGTCAATGTGCACACAGAGGTATTTTTCCTAAACGCTAGAAATCTAGCTGTCATCTCCACCTTTTCAGGACACAACTCTGTATTTTAATAAAAAAGCATTCTGTAATGAAGCATAGGTGGGCTGGACCACTGCCTTCTCACCCAGGGCTGTCTCTATCAGGGCAGCAGTAGAGGCTCATGGCTCTCCATCCAGCATTTGATTAGCTGGAGAGGCTTCTGCAGGAGCTGGCTCTCCACTGATGCGACTGTGTGCTTCTAGCCTGGCTGTCATGCAGAGAAGAAAAACACGCTTTTGTTACTTTTCACTGGTGTTAAAGCAAATATCAAAGGGGTCAGTAACAGTCTTTCACAGGGAGATAGTAACCTCATAGCCCTCTCCAGCTGTGCTGTCAGCATGTGTCATCCTTTGCCTTGCTAATACCTTTGCTAGATGCTCTCCTGTCAGCTGGAGGAAAGATCCTGTCATCATCTGCACTGAAGTGCTACCCTGAACCTTGCCACTTAGGCCAGGATCCTGGATCAGTGCTCCAGCTTCCCCAAAGCAGCCCAGCGAGCAGATGTGCTCTATCCCTTCATCGTTCTTCATGTTTGAACAAAACTCAGCCTCCCCCTGTCCCCTTCCTATTCATGTATCTTCCTTGTAGCCCTCCTCTCTCCCCGGCCAGCAAGGTGCAAAGCCTGGGCTGGTGCAGAGAGCCGGAGCACAGATGCTGAGCTGCCCTGCTCCCCTCAGCCCCCAACACATGCGGTTTTCTTCCAAGGTCCTGGGGCTTGCTGAAAGGTTACTGAGGAGGAGAGTCTGGACAGCAAGGATTCCTCCTATACCCAGGGCTGGTATCGTATAGCAAATCACAGTAACCGCAGCTGGACAGCATGAAGTTCCTGGCCGTTGCTCTGCTGGTTCTTAAATCTCAAGGCCCCTTAGATGGTGTTATGGCTTTAAAGCTCTTGAAAAATCAAACAGGAGGGGAGCAGTCCTGGATTTCACAGTATTTCTGGATTAGCAGAGAACAGGGAGCTTGGTTGAGGTGGAGACAGCTATCAGGAGGCCTTGGAGGAAGTGGAGCCTGTTCATTGCAGGCGGACACATGGCTCTGCTTGCTCCGGAGAAGCTATGTTGTGTGCAGCTGGAGGAATGATCCTTTCTAGTCACACAAGTGCTGAGCTTGGTCTGTGCCAGCCTTGCCTTCTGTCAGGGATTGAGACCAGGTCGAGCTCCAGATGGATCCATGCAAGGAGGAGATGATGTGCTGGGGTGCTGCAGAGTGCTGTGCAAGGAGAAGGTTGCCTGAGCTGCCCTATTCTGGGAAAGGGGCTGGTGACAGCAAAGCTGCTCCACATTTGTACTGCAGGAACTTTCATGGGTGCAGCCCAAATCAGATGCTGCCGTTGGCAGGCACTGGGCTCAGGGGGACAGCCCAGTCTGGTCTAATTTGGCAAATCCTGTGTTGCCCCAGTTTCCCTGCTTAGCTGAGCCTGCTGCACGGTGTGTGTGGTTCCCTGGGAGGGAGGGACGCAGCACTGCAGCAGCACAAAGGGTGAATTCCTTTGGTTTACCCCGTGTTTGCTGGGCTCAAGCATGTGGTCAAGTAGTTGTGGCATAACATGTATTGCATGGTCATTTCACTCCATGCAGCATATTTGTGTGTCCCAATCAGGGAAGGCTTAACTCTCTGTGAACTTGGTCATTCATTCTCACTTCTTGTCTTTTCTGTCACTTCCCAGGTCTGGAGCTACTGAAGAACTGGTGTGTCAAAGGGTACCACACTGGAGCAGGGATGGATTTAGCCCAGATGGTGCGTACGGCTGTGCATGAGCTAGGGAGAGGTGGTGGTTTGCCTGCGTAGAGTAGGGCAGAACACCTGCTTGTTCTACCTCCTGCCCTACCTTTTTGCCTCTTAAGGCCTCCAGGAGTCTGGAAACTCACATTTATCTCTTATCTCCCACCAACATGGAGTCCACCCAGTGTATCATCTCCAAGTATTTTGCATCTGAATATCCTTGTGTGTGCTAGGCACAGCCCTACATATTTGGCACCTGGCCTCCCCTTTATTCCCCTCCATGAGGGAGCCATCTCTGTCTGTCACTCCTGTGCTTTACAGCAGGCTGATACAGTGAAAGAAGCCCACTCTTTTGACCTTGAGATGCTCTGCTCCCACTTACAGCAGAGGGATTCATCAAGCAGAGAGCAAAGACTGCTCTGTTTGCTATTCTGGGAACAGTGTGGTGGCAGTGACGATGCACAGCAGTGTGAGGCTGAAGCATGCTAGGGCAGAGCACAGCAGACTTGAGGGATTTTTGCCACAACTGAAACAGCCATTTGATTGTCTTTCTCTCCTCCTGCAGTGGTCACTGCCAAAGTCTTTCTTCCTTCAGAAGAGCAATGTTCAATCAAATGGCTTCAGCAAACTGGAATTGGGCAATCTGGGGTGAGTTTGTAGTGGCTGTGTCATGCATGATGTTCAGTGTGGTTTTAGGATCGGTGTCCTGAGAGAGACCTGGCAGCAGGGAAAGCAGTTTTGTTTAAGGGGAGAGGAACAGGTTGGCTTGCAGGTTCTGCAGCCAGCCTCTGCTCCCTGTGGAGCCAACTGGTGGGGCTGGCATGATGTCTATGTGACTGAGCATGTCTCCTTGGCACTGTATGCCCAGCTCAGGTGGGAGTGAGGCCCAGAACAGCCAGGAGTGGGTGATGTTTGGGGTTGTCATGATCAGGACATGCTAAGAAGATGTTCCCCACAGGGGCCTGCACCACTTCTGTGGGCTCTGATGTGGCCAACAGTGAGTAGAGGCTCTCTGCTGCAGTGTGGGGCTGGAGGAGCCATGATGCCTCTGGGTCTGCCACGCTCTGCCAGCTTCCCCAAGCAAAGCTAGGCTGCAAAATGGGTGCTGCTGGCCCTGAGAGCTTCCTGCAGAGAGGTGGGGGACTGGGGTTTCTTTAGGTGAGCCAAAGCAGAGGGCACGCACCCCCCGGTCTCTTGTGTTGAGG